ATAATTGAACAAAAGTGGATGATATTTTTCCCTTTGGAAAGAAGTTTTACTCTAAAGCTAGATTCTTTTGTGAGAGAAGCAGTTCTGGGCTTCCTCTGAGTGCTGCATTGGTATATTTTTCAGTGTAGTGCAGCAAGCAAGCTCCCCCTCTAATCTAAATGGAATAATAAAATGTTTGAGCTATTTCAGTCTTGCTGTTCTATTGGGGAAACAGTTATCAGCTGTGTGATACCATATTATATTCATCTGTAATTTTTCTGTAGCTGACATTTCCAAGCTCATTTTCCTCATGACTTTACTTACAACAAATTAGTAGTTACCAATTTGATCTTGATTTTAATCTTTCACCAAATTAGATTTCCAGTAATGTGACAGATCTAATGCTCCTTATATGTGAATATTTCAGTACATAAGCATAAAAGCACCCATGTGTTTAAATCTTGGTTATAGTGGCCAGCATTCCTCACCAGTTTATTCAGAATAAAATCTAAATGTTAAATACAGATTTTGTTGTCTCATACATTTTCATGCAAAATAGTTGTGGAAATTGCCTTTGCCACTAGCAACAAAATCTTTCTGCTAAGGTATAAAGGAATCCACCTTGATAAATGTTGTGAAATATTTAAAGCTACTTGCAGCATAGATACACTGAAGAACTTCAGGGTCACAGCAGAGTGGGAGTTACTTGTTTCTTTTCTCTAGCAAGCCAAATAACCTCAGATAAAAGCTACTTAGACCCACCTAAATTTTAAATATTTATAAGTTAACAGTTTATGCAGAGCCTGAGCACCTTCATTTTCTGGTTTGTTCAACATGTTTTCAGAAACGTATCAAATACATGATGCTGAGTATATTCAGCTTGCATGATTTCCATGGGAGTTAAGAACTCAGTGGAAACAAACTCTCTTTCCGATACTGAAAGTGAATTTATTAAAGTTTTAATTATTAGTATTCTTTCATCCTAATTAGGTTTTTTTTCTCTCTGCTGGCTGGCTCATTGACATGTAAAGGGGCAGGAAGAAGAGTTTGTTCATTTCTGTGACTTTCTGCCAACAGATGGGCTGGTTGACTGTATGGATCCTGACTGCTGTTTGCAGAGTTCTTGCCAAAACCAGCCTTATTGTCGTGGACTACCTGATCCCCAAGATATTATCAGCCAAAGCCAACAGTCTCCGTCACAGCAAGCCGCCAAAGCATTTTATGACCGGATCAGTTTCCTCATTGGGGCAGACAGCACTCATGTCATACCTGGGGAAAGTCCTTTTAACAAAAGGTGAGTATGAATTATCATTTACTGATGAAGAAGAAAGAAATTGAAGAGTGTGAGATTCCTATTGGAGACGATCCACTCCGATTGCAAAATTCATGGCATGGACTTTCAGCAAAGACCTTTTCTCATCATATATTTATTTGTTTATTTTGTCTCATTTCCTGCAAAATTCGAATTGCTGGAGCTAGCAGGTTACAGAAGGTATTTGCCATGCTTAGTACCTGTATTCTATCAGGGCACTTCATTAATGATTAAATAAATCTTTATTTAACCAGTTGATTTGGGCTAGCACAGTTGGAAATATATCAAAGCAATGAAAACACTTCAGAAGGAAAAGCAAAGCTGCACTTTTTAAACTGAGCTCACTAAATAATATAAATTATGAATTAATGTAATAGAACGGTTAAGTGCACGACAGTATAATTGCATAAACTATTTGACTGGTGCTCTACGAAGCAGTAATGACCTGAAAATAAACCAGTAACAGGAAGCAGGTGTCTGGAATCTCACAGAGTGAAAGAAGATGATTTACACTAGAACTACTGCGTTTGCAGTAATTTAACTGCATTAATGTGTTTGGGCACAGCAGTTGATTAAAAGTTGTTGCACCAGTGTTCCTTATTGCTCTTTTAAATTTTGTACTTCATAGTCCCTGCAGTTTTACAGATCGCTTTGATACTAATTGAAAAGTACGTTGTTCTTTAAGAGTCTGCCAGAGGTATGACACAGTGGGAACATCTAGAGCTTGTAAGTTCTTAAAATTCTTCAGTGAATTTCTGGTCTTAGGAATTCAGTACAGACAAAATGAACAGAGGTAAAATCAACAGTACTGAGACTAAATTATTATCTGCACATTTTGAGGCATTTGTTTATACGGTGCAAATTATGTGAACTCGTAAAAGGGTTAGAGTCTCAGGAATGTTCTTGTAATGGTAATTGATACTATGGTGGGGGGCGGGGTTCACTCTACTGGCTCTTACTTATTCAAAAGAGAACGATAAAAGCTAATTTGTAATTTGATCCTGCATCTTTTTCACAGTCTTGCATCCGTCATAAGGGGCCAAGTATTAACTGCTGATGGAACGCCGCTTATTGGAGTCAATGTCTCCTTTCTACACTATCCAGATTATGGATATACAATCACTCGCCAAGATGGAATGTAAGTTCCCTTTGAAGTGCTTCTAAGTCATAAAGACAGCAAAGGCGTTACTGAAGAGCTGCTTGTAAAAGTAAGATTATAGTAACAAAATAATGGAAACAAAAGACATGAACAAAGTGATTGGCTAAAGTTGTACTTTTGACATTTTTCAAATATAAAACATGCTGATTATATACTTTACAAGTAGAAGGGCTTGCTTAATTTAAATGCAGCATCCCAAACTCTCCATTCTCTCAATGCAGTATTATGTAATATAATTTAATTGATTTCTCCATTGTTCCCAGTAGAGCCATTCTGCCTTCAGAGCAGTGCAATAGAATAAGGAATCAATCTGTAAAATGGTGCCTGTGGATGGCTTTGGGAATGTGCTGACTAGCTAGCCCTGTTGGGTTTTTTTCCTAGGTTTGATTTGGTAGCAAATGGTGGTGCCTCCCTGACACTAGTGTTTGAGCGATCACCGTTCCTGACACAGTATCACACAGTATGGATTCCCTGGAATGTATTTTATGTCATGGATACCCTGGTCATGAAGAAGGAAGAAAATGACATTCCTAGTTGTGATCTGAGCGGATTTGTGAGGCCAAACCCTGTTATTGTGTCATCACCTTTATCTACCTTCTTCAGAATTTCTCCTGAAGATAGTCCTGTCATCCCAGAGACACAGGTAAAGTGTGCTTCAAATAAATAGCATCTTGTCACAGGCTAGTATTAAGCAGCCATAATGAAAAGAGTGAAAACTACTGTTTAAAATAAATAATGCTGACTGAGTGCTAAGAATTTGCAACATGATTGTTTCCAATTTATTTATTCTGTGGGATGATTTTAAAAAATGAGGTAAGAAAGCTTCATGTACACTAGCGTCTGGTTTTGTATTTGTTTGCATGTTTTCATCATTTAATTTACAGAATGCCTTCAGCAACCAGGCATTAGCCCATCAAAATGGACACATTATAGTACATCTGCTTTTTTTGACTGCCCTCTTCTTAGAAATGCACCTCAGAAACTGAAAATTAAGGGTATTTTTCCACTATGTCTGAAAGACCCATACAGTTCCATTTATCTGTTTAGTCCTAATAAATAGCATGACATTCTGATCTTTATAAATTAAGAGAACTTTCTGTAACACTGAGGACAGGGTTATAAACCAATGAGCATGCGTACTAATCAACTTCTTCGGAGCTTGTAATATCGAAAGTGAAACTTAACATCAGAATGTTAATGGAAACATTTTAATGGAAAAAGCTGTGGTTGGAATGTTTTTTCTCTAACATAGGTGTATTAAATTCTTCCATCTCAAGTAACTAATCACTAATACTGTCTTCCTCAGCTCCTAAAGAAGAGTTACGTTTCAAGAAGTAATATTTATCTCATTGATTTCTGATTTAAAAAAATTACAAACTACTGATTTTCCTAGTGAAACAGCATTCTTTCTGCCTTCCTCTTTCTTTTCCTCTCCTTTCCCTCTCTCTCTTTTCTCTTTCTCTCCCCTACCTTCGCGATGTCATAATTACATAGGGCACTCTTTTTCCCATTCAGCAAGGAATGTGCTTGCCTCTCCAAGGGAAACATAGAAAGTGTATTCAAATGTTTTCATGCAGAGCTCTTAAAGCTCTCAAAATCATTAAGCAATTCACGGTAGGAACAGGTTTAAAGTAAAGATGTAAAAAAATTACAACTAAATGCTCATACAAATCTAGACTGTGCTAGAAAATTGTTGCTTTTATCCTCGCTGTCATTTCTGCGCCTTTGATAGTTGCAAGTCAATTAAAAGAAAGTACTTGCAAAAAAACAGTCCACTGAAAAACAGCTCTGATTTACTTGTTTCAGCAACAGATGATAGATTCAGTTTCTGAAGTGATGGAAAATGGCTTAGATGTGGGGTATAAATCAAGAAAAAAGTAGTAGTAGAAGAATGTCAGAAAATACATGTTTTCAAAAAACACTTGTAATGTCTACGTAAACAAGTCATTTCATGAGCAGTAGGACTAATGAAGTCTGGATTTGTACTAATGCCCACCCATTGCTAAAATTCCAGCTATCTGCCACATCTAGTCCTTCTCCTGTGGACTGCATTCAGCCTTTTTTTTCTCATGGGAGAACCAACTTGCCTACTTCTTGCCTTCCTGAACCCTTTGTTTTATAAACCCTTAAGAAACTGAATTATCTGTAAGGCTTCCTACTGTTATTTCAAATGTGGTTGAAATGGCTACCAGGTTCAGAAGTGGCGAGGTGGGAGGTCTGACAGGCAGGACTGCTGGGTCAACTTGATTTCTGTAGAAAACCAGCTGGAAGGAAAGATGGTGTTCTCAGTGGATTCTAGGCAGTTGGCGTGGATGCGTCATTTATGATGAGGTAAAAATAGTACTGTCGTTATGTATGCAAAAATCTGGTTCCAGTACTGTGTCAAAAAGAAAACCATCAAGGAGTATTTTCTTCTATATTTTTTGCTCATCACACACGCAATCCCCTACTTTGGTAAGTGGGAGCTGCACAGCCGTGCCTTTTGGGTACTCCTTTAGGGTCATGTTCCTCTCAGAAATGCATAATGCGCAACAGTCTGTCTCCCAAAAAAATGACTGCCCTGATAAAAGATGGACAGAGCTAGACTCCGTTCAAAGCTGTCTATTCAGCTCCAGAGGAACTGCTATAGATGTTTTCATAAAAAAGGGACAATGCTGGTTTAAACTGTGGGAGTCTGCAGGAAGGCACAGAGAAAGAAACCATTCCCCATGTTCCTTCGGTCAGTATACTCACCCTGTTTGTGTGGTGTGACAGCACTCACTGTCACGTACTACAGGAGAAAATGATGTGCTGCTGTAATTATCATCCCTTGAAGTGCCTCATCATCCCCTGGAGATAATGTTTCTGAAAGAGTATGCTTAGTGGCTTATGAATCCCAAATTGATCAGAGTGGGAATTAAAGTCTGTACCAAAGAAGCAGCACAAAAGAAAATAAAAAAAGGCAGCAGGCAAAGGGAAAGAACAAATTTAGTGGGTAAAGGGGTGACCAGAGACCCCTCAAGAGGGGTGATAATAAATAACATGTTAACTAAATTTGGACTACTTAGGCATGACTTTATCTGCTTTAAATTGCAAGCTAGCATGCTCTGCCTAGACCTAACTAGCTGAGATTAGTCAGTGTGGAACAAGACAGTAAACTGCATGCAGATGCGGGAGATCAGGTTAAGCTGGAGCTGCTTATATGTGATAGGTAGTACAGTTGTTGTCTTGTTCCTGATATAATAAATACCAGTTTGCCACGTATTGCAGTGTGGTCTGGCAGAAACCCACATGTGAGTCACAATGAACAATTCTGAAACTGAGTTTTTGAGGCTTTCATTCTCCTGTACTTCTGTTATCCACTGTAATGTACACTTGCAAGATGCCTTCTGCAGGTCCTGAGCAGCTTGTTTCCATCACCTCCAGTGTGTGGGAGAATGAAAACTGAAAAGTTTTCCTTCCTATTATGTGTCTGAGGTTCCCCTCCCCTGACTCTCTCTCACAACTGGCAATATTATACAGCAGAAGGCAGCAAAAATTATTTACTCAGAAGAATTCAGGATAAAACATGGGCCTCAGTGTCTTAATAAAATGGTTGATTGTAACTTCAGGGTGGCCAGTTTTTCAGCGAATAAATTAACCTCTATTATCATTTAAACATGAAATGTAATAGGATGTCAAGGTGTTCCAGTATTACATGCATGCTGCATCGTAGTTTCACTTAGGTAAAATCTCCAGAACTTCAAGTTTGTACTGAGAAAAAAATGGAGATTACTTTTAGAGCCAAATCTATGCTTCCTTTGTTTTCCAGCACACTTTCTTTCGTCTTGCTTTGTGTTTGAAGCATTATATACACTTCTTGATTTATTCTTTTATGGACACTTTTGTAGGTTCCTATATGTGCATGTCTTCTTCCTATTCCTCTTCTCTGTGGTATCTCAACAATGTTTTAAGTCTGGGGGAAAAAACCAAAAAGTATTTTTTTCCCTTTTAATTTCTTCTTGCTTTATATTGTTAACTCAAGGTTATTTCTTTATAAGTTCATTTAAGAACCTCAATTCTAGGGGAACTCTTTTTTTAAGAAGAAAAGATTTTTCCATCTTGAAATGAGCAGTTTCATCTTCTACTTAAAGAACTATAATTTTAGTACTCCTTGGTCTCAACCTTTGTGTAATAACAGTAGTTGCTAATATATGGGTGTATCTAAAAATGCCATCTTTACCTCTCTCAAACCAAGATGATGTTATATTTTAATGCAACAGCTCAGCTGTTACTTCTCGGCAAAGAAGTAACTTTTTTTTCTGACATTAGGACTGAAGTTTGCACTCATTTGTGAAGTTTGTTCTCAAATCCTCTATTGAAGTTGCTCATTTTGTCAAAAAAATCACAGCAGTACAGCAGGCATTTTTCTCCCTAATTGAATTAAATTACTTAATCAAGGTTCTCAATTCCATCAGAGCTTGTCACTTGAATCATATTATATTTTGGATCAGGAAAGTATTCCAGAGCCTGAACAGCTTTAGTCCTGCTGGCCAGGAGAGACGAAGAGCCATGCACAATTTATGTGACTCAGGCACCAGCTGAACTCTCAGGACAACAAAATCTGTCTTTGTGAAAATTGAGATGACCCTTATCTCAGTCTCATAGGTTAAATATTTCATGGCTGTCCTCCTGAGAAGCTTGATCATCCATAAATAAAATGTCAACCATTAGAATTTAGTGGCTGGGCTATATATAACTCTTTGGGTACCCTGATACCCCTAGGGTAGCAGCCTTTCTGAAGGTAGTTTGATATTCTATCTGGGAAAGCTAAAGTACAGACAGCTTGGTTGTGTGGGCGATTTCTGGTGTTACCTTTATACCCAGGGACTTTCCTGATTGCTTTACAATTGATGTGTTGTCGTGGATCCCATAGGATGCTCTCTGCTGTGCCTGATGATTTAACTTTTCGGATGAACATTAAGCTGTTGAATTCTCTTTGCAATGCTTGATTCTGGGAGAGAGATTGAGTTGCCTAACCTTACCTCTACATTTCTAAAGTTCTCAAGAAAATAAGTTACTATGGGGGATATTTTATGGAAAAAAGGAAGTTATAAGACAGATCTCCAACAGATATTTGAGGCTTCTGCAGAAACTAATGATAGGTGTTTGGGTTTTGTTTTAAAGCTCGCTGAGAACTGCATGAATTTCCTAGTTTCTAATTTGATAGTAATCCAAATACACAGTGGAATTTCTTGGAAATTGAAACTTCAAGGTGTTCTCTTTATTGCCTGTTATCTCAGCCAAGAGTACTGGAAGACCACCTAAGTGTTTAACACTGCTCTTCCACAGTTGCAGTTGCCAAAGAAGCAGTGGCCGTAACAGGAGACCAGTGAAGTCCATTAAATTGTGTCCTATTACAAGCATATTACTTCTTCTTCTCCTCTTGCTTACAGAGACCTCCATCTGTTATATTGTGCAGTATATGAGAGTCCTGCTGATGTCTTGAGGAGGAATTTGTCTTTTGTTCCTGGGTGGTTTATATTTTTCCTTCAAAATCTTAGCAATGGAATATGTTCACAGTCACTATATCTCTAGAGAAGGGGGGGCTGTTTGTGTAGAGAAGGTTTGCTTGTTCTCTGGCTTAGATGCTGTGCGTGTATCAGGCTAAGAGAGAGCAGACTACATTTACAAACAGAAATTATGCCACTCACCTCCTTGCAAGTGATGGTACCAGTTGTCATTTCTTCTCACTGATGGTTCTTGGTGGGAAAAAAAAAAACATTTGAAGGTCAAGAATTAAGAATTTATAAATCTGAATTTCACTCTTCTAGTATCTTCCAGTTCCTCCTTTATTTCCTACAGCTCCGTTATAGTCTTACTGGAGAAGAAGTTTTATGTCTACGTACATCAGATGTAAATAACCATTCATGCCAGATAATGAGTCAAAATACTATTTCTGATTTTTTGTTACTGTTATTGGGAAGGAGATAGATAAAATTAATACCATATAAATAGTCTTTATAAACCAGCAAATTTGCTAATGTAGAGGATGTTGAAGCACCTGCTGCCCTCCTCAAGAGCATAAACCACATTATTTTACCCTATTCAACACAGGCAGTAGTTGTTTAAAAGCAATGCCCAAGGATTTCTCTAGCATAGAGAGCTAACTTAGTGCTTGTTTAGTAGCCAGCTTTTGACCCGGCTGACATCTCAAGCCTGGTATTTGTGACAGTGCTCTCCCTGAAGTCTACTTTCCACTAATATTAATTAGTATCTGGTCTTCAGGCTTTAGGATGAGGAAACAGGAAAGTAAAATAAAGCTTTCCAAATTTACTTCTCCAGGAATGCTCCTTTGACACCAGCAAGGCTTTGGGCTTCTGCTTCAGCATCCTTTGCCCTCTCTTCCCATCAGAGGAACATTACTTTTATAGATGTGTCTGGATAGGGGTCTTTTTAATTTTATTTTTTTTTTCCAATAAGCTGGGATACTTGGTAGCTGTTCACCTGAAGTGCTGGCTGTCAGTGTTTATGTCTTGACTGAGGTATAGGACAGTATAGGCTGTCTTCATCCACATTACACAGAAACCTTTCACGTCCATCCATCATCCACAAAAGCTTCTCAGCTTGGAGGAAGAGACAAGGTAGAGGAGGGGAGGAACCTTTTAAGAATCAAATTGAATCATTGCACCTCTTTGAAATGAGAAAGTGGTGAGCTGATGTCTGAGTAGTGAATATTGATCAGGAAATATGGAAAAGCTTTCCCTGAGGCATCCTACTTATCTGTCTTCAAAATAAATGGAAGAATGCTCTAGTCTAAACTATTTACAATCCACAGGCAATGCAAATAATCAACCACCTTAAAGTCCTTCCTGCTCCTAAAGGAGTAATTAAAACATCCCAACCCAAATCAGAAGCTTTGCAGTGCTTAGAGGCTCTACAGCCTTTAATACATATCCATAGTTGGAACATGGGTGTCAGCATATGAAAGGGTTATTTTCATTGAGATGAAAGATTTTTTTTTTTTTTGGCCTCTTTTGGAAAAAGCAGTTGGGTATCTTTTCCGTCTCCTGGATGCTTCTCTTCCTCAGTAAAAATAAATGAGAGATCTTTGAAATTCTTCAGCAGAAAGTATCAACTAAGCAACTTCAGTATAACAAATAATTTAGACTTCACAAAAAATATTAAAAGTTGTTATTTATGGGGTTTTTTACATTATTAAATAAAGCCTGGATTTAGATGATACTTCCTAATGGCTTGTCATGTGGCATTATGTCAGGCCTCCTTTTATGGTAGCTGCATTTTTCTGTTTAATTTCAAAATCATTCAAATACTGTATTTTTTTCTTACCAATGCATAGGTGCTTCATGAAGAAACGACAATACCAGGGACCGATTTGAAGTTATCATACTTAAGTTCCAGGGCTGCAGGATATAAATCTGTTCTGAAGATTACTATGACCCAGTCTGTTATACCATTTAATTTAATGAAGGTTCATCTTATGGTGGCAGTGGTGGGAAGACTTTTCCAAAAGTGGTTCCCTGCATCCCCAAATCTGGCTTACACTTTCATATGGGATAAAACTGATGCATACAACCAGAGAGTCTATGGATTATCTGAAGCTGTTGGTATGTGTGTTATGGCGGTTTTTTGCATTTTTACTATTGTCTTGAAAATAAGGAAGCACATCTCAAATACTTGTGTCCATTAAGTAGAAAATGTTTAGCAGCATAACATGAGAAATATCAATAGATATTAAAACATATTAAAAATACTAATCTAAACTTTGAATTATAAGAAACAATTTCCTTTAAAAGGAAAAAGAAACCACAGTCATTTTTCACTTCTAGTTCTCCCCCACAAAGTAGTCCTCAGCCTTCTAATACAGTATGGTATTTAGTCTGCACAGTTCTTGTACTGTAGAGCACAGTAACATTGTGACGTACTTCACAAGTGACTTTCACAAAATTACTTCCCTTTGTGCCCGTCCTAATCCACTTTTAATAGCTGAAATTATTTTAATAACTCAAGATTGATTTTTAAAGGATTTTGGAATCTGTTTAGTGTTTTCATTGCATCTGAAGAAGCCATAGGGATTTTCAGGTAGCCCAGGAGAGCAGGAGAGCATATGTAGTTTAAGGAAATTATATTCTTTAAGCTCTTCTTTTGAACAAGATCCTGTACTTAATGAGGAAATTTACTGTTATTTCAGTGTCTGTAGGATATGAATATGAGTCTTGCTTGGATCTAACTCTCTGGGAAAAGCGTACTGCCATTTTGCAGGGTTATGAACTGGATGCCTCCAACATGGGTGGCTGGACGTTGGATAAGCATCATGTTTTGGATGTTCAGAATGGTAAGGAGTTAATTTTCTTCTTGCTAATTTTAGTACTCAAATGCCTTGTACCTTAGGTATTTCATTCTAACTTTTCAAATGTTTGCTTTGTTATTTCAAAAAAGGAAATTATGGTATGTCTTGCATATGGTAAATACTTTGAGCTTTACAGTGAATGTTACGTTTCTTCATCCTATAAACACATATTCATTAATAAAACTATCGAACAGTGTCAGCCTGTGTTAGATACAAAAAAAAGCTCAAACCAAAAATGTTAAAACTGTTTTTAAAAATTCAGTGATGTTAAAAGGATGCGATTTCTAAAGCAGTTGTACATGTCAGCTTTGTTACTGGCATTAACTGTTTGTATGTTAACCGTATCTTGAACAATGTTTCCACTTCCAGTTTTCACAATGACTGAAAATTAAACAGCAATAAGAGACATTCCTGCCAAACTGAGAGCTCTTCACTTGAATACTAAATCCTTCATTTATACAGGAGGTGTTCCTCTTCATGTCATGTTATTCCCAGCCTCTGCACAGCTGCTTGTGGGAGTGGTTAGCACATGGGTACCATCTCTTTTGGAGGATGAGCTCTCATTTACACTCTCCTGTTTAAATCCTTCCCTGAGGTGAATCCTCCCTGCGGTGCTGTGGTTGGCTCAGCACACAGCAGGTAACGAATGGTACTGCCTTGAGTCATTGAGGGCACTTGTGCTCCTTGTTTCAGGACAGAGTTCAGTCGATAGTGAGTGAGTCTTCCTTAATTTCAGTGAAAAAAAGGAAGGAACAATACACATTTACAAGAACTGTGCCTTAGCACCAAGGTAAATTTGTCCAGTGTGCTACTCAGCAGCTGGCTTGAGGGTGCCATGCTACGGAAACCCCAGCTCGACACTGAACAGGAGGAAATTGGGAAAAATTTGGCTGAACACATGTAAGAAAGGTAAAATAAACAGTCACATGGCTCAAGGTGGGAGTTGGTCGTACTGGATTTTCACACAAAGGAAGAGCCTAGAAGTAATTCAGTGGGAAGAACATCACTTCTGCAGTACCTTGTGTCCCTTGGAGGTCTCCCACTAGTACGTGTGCTTATTTTGTGTGCTTTGCTAATCACCACCTAAAGCATTGCTTCTGACTGGTAGAAAAACAAGGTAACCACATCAAAGAAAAAGATGTCATTGTGTCTAATCTAAAATGTCAGGAAAACCCTGTGCAGATTATTGTAAGATAATCCATCTAAAAATGTAAAGAGCCATAATTATAAATATATATATAAGATTGATTCTGTTCACAAGGTAAATTGATGGTGGCTTTAAATTATGTTCAAGAGTATATTTGACAAGCAATGACTTTCCAAAGTGACGTGTGTCTAATTGAATAAACGAAGTGGAGAGTTGTAATGACAAGGTGGATGAGCTGGAGAAATTTATTCAGAAGAGAGTGCAGAGAGTGTTTGTGCGGACATCCTGAACTACTGCAGTAAATAGTCTAATGTACATCTTTTACTCTGCAATAATAGAGGAGAAATGTGAAGGACCAATTTTTCAAGGTAATGACAGAATAAATCAAGTGCAATAGTGTACTGTGCTGACTTGTAGAATTCCTCTGATGAAAATTACAGAACTCAGCTGTTTCAAGCAAAATTATGGTGCCATGATTGTCATAAATGATGTAATCACAGGAGAGGGGATTTTGTAAACCGTTAATGCATTCTGGCTTTAACTATTCATGAATAATACGTTCTCCTTCTTTTGATTTAGATTACTTATTTAGATTACTTGCCATTAGGTTTCTGTAAAGCATTTCTTCCCAATTTTATTAGGTATATTGGTTCTACATTTATAATCTCCTAAATTTTATAACATTAAAAGGTACTGAAGACACCTACACATTTAAAGACGAAAATGCAGTCTTTTTTCGCATATCCTTCAGAATAAAGAGTGCATTTTGGGAGTGAGAAGAGAAAAAGGAATACGTCTTAAATTTCTTCTAAGCAACTCAAAAGAGAAATGTATCCCTCAGCCCCAAACTGCCTTTGAAACTCTGGGCACACAATCAATAAACACGTATCACTTTAAAGTACAAAGTGACATGTGGTTTACATGGATTATACCATGGAAAGATAAATTGTGACTTATGAGTATAACCATAATTGCTGACCATTTGTAGAGTACACTTCAGTGGATTCATTGAGAGACGTAATCCCAGCATCACTTTAACTCACCTTTTTTCCCTAAGACTGAAGATTTAACATAAAGCATACATTTTTCTTCTCTGATTTCCTACGGAGGCTATAAGGAAGAAAAATACTGCTGGCACATTGCTTTGTCTTCACGAAATTATTGTTCCTTTCATGCCTCAAAGCAGAATTAAGTTTAAGAGGCAGGTTGGCCTGGCACCACATTTTTTTTTTTGTTATTTTGACATTTTTAATAACTGCCTATAACTGCAGATGTGGTATTGAGGCAGGCTTTGTTGCCACAGGTACAGTTTTGTTGTGAGCTGAGTAAAGAGTCTTTCATAACGTAAAATTGAGGCAATCTCCAACTTTTTGAAGTAGCTCTTTAATTAATATTTACAATTTGCAGCAATAATCCACTTTAGATTACATATGACATCACATTAATAATTAGTTAGGGTGGGACTTTAAGAATACAATTTGGAAATATGTTTTTTTCTTTTTTATAACGCATGAACATCTAGAATTCCAGTCATTTCTGGGGAATTTCAAAACTGTAAAGATTTAGGAACACAGACCTTGATTTCATTCAGTGCACCTTGCATTTCCTTCAACATGACAGTATTTTGTCTGAATTATAACTATTAAAACTATTAGCATTTAAAAATAAGAAAAACTGAAAACTTGTTTGGGTTTTAAATGCTAGTGTTTCTGCTACATTTTGTTGACAAGATAATTTCATGTTTTGTGTGTCTGTGACTTAAATTTAACTATAAATGTTTTAATAAAGTTCTGTTACTTGTAGTGAGAAAAATATGGTGGTGAAACAATTAAAAGTCCATTATATTATTAAGCAACTAAATATTTGGAATGCTTACACATCATTTTATGTACACTCATTCAAAGTTTTTATGACCTATTTCTTGGTTTGTTTTCTTTTATGTTATCTACCAGGAATTCTCTACAAAGGAAATGGTGAAAATCAATTTATATCTCAGCAACCCCCAATTGTTAGTAGCATTATGGGCAATGGAAGACGTCGCAGCATCTCCTGTCCAAGTTGTAATGGTCAAGCTGATGGTAATAAATTGCTGGCTCCAGTTGCCTTAGCTTGTGGGATAGATGGCAGTCTTTACGTGGGGGATTTCAACTACGTTCGGCGGATATTCCCATCTGGAAATGTAACTAGTGTTCTGGAACTAAGGTATGTATTTTCCTCATCTCAGACTTTTGGAGTTGTGAGTTACTGTTGCAAGCTGAAGTACTGAACTGATTTCTGACATGGTGGAAGCTAGAGTTTCCAAATGCTTTGGGGAACAAAAAAAGTTGAGAAAGAAGATTTCAAAACATGTGAAAAAGTAGTTAAAACTGAAGTGAAAAAATTTTAACTGTGCTTATCTAAGCTGTCAGAGTGTAATCTACCCAAGTAATTATTCTGTGGATTTGAAGAGTTAACCTACGTAGTCGACAGGAGTGGACAAAAGATGATGATTCACCCTTCACTAATGACAGATGTAAATGTTGCCTTCTTTTCATCTTTTAACATCCTTTCTGAATGTTTTTCTAATAATGTTTTTCTGTTCTTTTTCACTTGCTCCCTCCAAGAAATAAAGATTTTAGACATAGGTAAGCATTCCTTAAAGAAGATTTATATTTTTCTAACTGTTCTTTTTTCTTTTTTAAGAAATGAATGCTTATAATGGAGAAGTCATTTCTGAGATGTATTACTAGAAAAGAGGAGTATTTTTCAAAAATAATGAGTTCATATGTTTTAGTTATGTCAGCTGTCAGGCTGTATTATCCTTTCGGATACAGGTTCCTCTTTTCTCATCACTCTCTGTCCGCAGTCAGGCTTCTTTTTATGCTTGTGTATGCCCTCCTTTGCTGTCCCCTCATCTCTGCTCACTCCTGTTCCTTGCTGGCAACACTTTTGCTGATCCTATCAAAACTCCTTAATCAGATACCCCAAATACAATGAGAATTGCTTTTAAATAAGAATAATTATGAAAGTGTCAAGTGAATTCATCTTATTAGCCTTTGGATGTTGAGTCTTTTCAGGCTGACATTTAACAGATTTGTTTCTTTAAAGGTGAACTTCTCTTAATAATGAAAGCTGAAATTGTCCCATAACACAAATCCAGGAGTTAAGATTTTAAAGTACACCAAGATTCGTAAGACTAGTCATAAAAACAAGAGTAAACAGAAAGATTTAGTACAACATTCATCCATCCTTAGAATTGCTTTGCTACAGTAGCTGGTGCTGGTAAGGAGACAGAAACAAACAAGTTATGCTAAAATCTTGTTGGATACACAAAACCCTCCAAGACTTTGTGGCAGAACTGTTAAGTATGGGGCTTAGAAACCCACTTTCTCGCCTTTTTTGCTGACAGTCGTTTTCCTTCCTTGTTTTCAAGCAAATTCCAGAGTGTCGTATCTCAGTTCTCCTGGTTTTTTAAACTCACCTTGCGTTGGACGTACTTCTTTGTCAGGAAGGATTTTATGTTTTAAAAAGTATGATTCAGATGTGTTAGGCGAAAAACTCTATGACTAAATAAGGTGTTTGCATCATGTGCTAATGATCAAAATTGGGAGTTGATGCACAGTCTAGCATGTTTTATGTTATTTTCCAGGTGTAACTCAGATGCAGTCCCTTCTGTTTGGTGGTTTTAGGTTTTCACTATTATGTTTAATTTACATTTGTTCCACTAGTTTTGAAAGAATTATATCCCTTGTGGTATCACAAAGTTGTGATTGCAACTGGATAAGACATTATCTTGGCAAATGTGTGGAATACAGAATAAACGGGAATTTGTAATGGAGAAAGAGGATTAAGGAACAGATGGGTAGTGAGGTTTGTTTTGCTGTGATTTACTAGCGACGCCCTCTCCTGCCTCTGGCAGAACTGTGGTTACAGGCTCAACTGCAGCATTCCAGAAACTATATCCCTGCATGTAAGAAAAGTTGGTGAGGGAGAACACTGAAGCTTTTCTCCTTTATTTATGCCTACAAAGAAGCTCCAGGTAGCCAAATTGAAATCATACTGCACAAATTAGTGTAACAGCATTGGCCTCATAGAGCGGCTATGAAGTGGGGATTCCTCCTGAGGCAGGAGACATAGAGGACCACAGAGAGAGAACTAGCTTTGCAGGAGTGGTTATGTAGGCAGTGGGCAGGAGATGTGGAGCCCACAGTGCAGCCTGTCATGGTCTACTACAAGTTTGTTTTCTCTCCCATCATACAACATTTTCCACTTAGCCTCAGAGGTTTGCTATTCAGGGGCTTCCTAAACCAAGAGTGGCATCTTTGATGCTTAATATCCCCCTGGCAGCTTTTTAGTCTATTCATTTAGCTGATTTTTGTTTAACATGCATAAACTTTTAGGATCCACTAAATCTAGTTGCCACAGGCTCCCCAGCTTAAGGACACAGTGTGAGACCAAATAGCTTCTGTGGCCTGCATGAAGTCATGCAAAGCCCTGTGAAATGCTGCAGCGAGAAGCATGACTGTCTGGCCTGTAGGAGAGGGGGGCAAACTGTCCTGTTTCACTGTCAAGCCCTTCAGACTGCTGAGGAGAGTTGTATTTAAACTGCAGTTTGGAAAACAGCCCCCAACAGACCACTTTGCAGTACATAATTACTAGGTATCAAAGCAAAGAAAATGCACTAAAATATGTATTCCCCAAGTAAAACTAATGAAGGGGGCTAAATACAAGTTCAGATCTACTATCTATTCCAGCATTCAACTTTCCTCGCCTAAACACAGTGCTTCAGCACAGTGAGTGATGTGCCTCCCAGCTCAAGGAGCCTGTACTCTCAATTAAAGAGACAATGCAGATCAAATTTATCCTCTCATGTACCAGTGACCTACCACTTTTTCAATCTCAAAGCTGAACTGATGTCTTTATACACACTGCTGCCTGTGGGTGATTAATGCTGATAGGCAGTCATGGAAGGAGTAATTTTTAGAAGGACTTTGAAGACAGGGAGGTCGTTTGTAGGCTATGGCAGTATCCCAAGTCAGTAGAGAGCCAGAAAAAAAGTTTAACAAAACATAAACCCAGCTTTGAGTGTGTGTGGTTTAGAAGGCACAGAGTGAATAGTAGAAAGTCTGAAGCAGGCAGGCTATTTTTAAAACATTAGTGCATGGAGAGTAATGCAGGTGATCCGACAGCTGAAGAATTAAAAGATTGGCATAAGCAAGATCAAAGCAATGGGAAATAGATCATTGCACCTCTGTGCATGCGTGTGTGTGCACTTTAAATTCAAAGCACTTATTTGGCATAGACAGAACAAGTTAATTTATAGTCATTTGTCTTTACAGGAGCCCATGTTGGTATGTAACTGCCTGTTTTGCAGAGCCACTGACAGCGATTAGGCGCTACTGAATGAGTCCAGAAGTCACTGGCTGTGGATTTTATTTCTTTGCATTTGTTGTTACTGATAGAAGGCAAGAGCTTAACATCATTTCAAGCTACAATGAAATAGAATAAACTGTGCAGCTTTGCAGCCGCTGGCTGCTTCTCCCTGTGCTATTTTTGAGATCTGCATAGCGCGCATGGATGTTTCCTGGCTGGAAAACAAACGTGGTTTTCCCTGGACAATTATTCAGTTCCTCAAATTGTGCCTTGCTCTTGTGAATTAATGGGGAGGGGGTTCTGTCAGCTAAAGCTGCCTCAGCTTTTTAACCTTCGCTTGAAAAGAAATGCTGAAGTTAAGCCTGTTATATTAACTCAGCAAGGAGCAATTAGACATCTGCGTATGGCAAGTTGGAGAGTTTATATCAATTCAATAATATCCAATGCACTCCTACACTTTGGGGTTGGGGGGTTAGTAAAATAAGAAAATATCCTCAAATTATCAGCTGTATTTTTTTGTTTCGACGAGAATACACTTCCTATGAGAACTCATCCCCAATAAGAAGAGCTTTGTAATTTTTGTTGGAATTAGAACTTAGAAATACTGTCATATTTATGAAGAAAACAGCTTTTAAAGTTCTTTCTAGAAAGAAATAATTGTGTTAGATACAAATTTGATGATTCTTTATTCCAACAACTGAAAAATATGACGAAGGCAGGGTTAGATGAGTCAAAGAGAGGTACTTTTAATTTAGATTTCAGTAGTATAAGAAAGGACTTTATTTTAAATTACAATGAAATAAAATTTAATTGCACATTTCACGTTTTGCAACGTGTTTATATTTGAAGTGTCTGCAAAGTTTCTTAAAGACCAAAGTAATCATGTAAATGGGTGTAATTTAATTTGCAGTCTGTAGAGGTATAAATAATTCGTACACTACATAGTGAGCATATTAGATGATCTCTGTGTAAATTGAGGTTTCGAAAATACCTTTCAACTATTTAGCACATTGGCAATAACAGATTTCTAACAAACAGAAATTGAAAGTGAGCCTGCATTTGATTGCTTTCAGAGGTGCTGCACACCACTCAGCTCTATAGCAGAGCTTTTTAAGAGGTGCTAATCACTCCGTATTTGATTTCATTAGTCTGCTTCACTTGGTTTCTTCATTCTGAACCAACATGTTAAAAGTCTTAAAACCAAAGAAAATCCTATTTATGCAACACATCGTTTTCTGTGGTTTTGTAATTGGATAGCTATTAAAATTTGTCCCTACTAAAAGCCATAATTTGTTCACAAGTTGTTCCTGTTGGTCTCTTGTAGCTTCTTCCAAGTGGCAGTACATAAAAATGTGTTACATTATCACAGTTATATATTTACAAAACATGAAGTATAGCATTCTGCGAACAGATGTTTGGCTATCACCAAGGCTGGTAGATCTGTTTAAGCAGCGCTTTTGCAAACATCAGAAGTGGGATTGCCTATTCTGACACTCTGCTTCAATCCATTAGGAGAGCATCTGAAATTACCTCCTGTATTTACATGACCTTATTTCAGTTCTTCATGCCATAAATTAGGTCAGGAATCCCAATTGCAGTGGGTTAAGTTTCTACATCATAATATGTCAACCCAAGAGGTAATCTCCAGGGCTGGTTTTTACACCAGCAGGGGAGAAAAGACAGTAATTCTCAATTATGTGCTAGTAGAGAGGCAAAATGTACGTTTCTGGGAAAATGGTTAGCAATATATATTTTCACTGTAATAAAGGCTGTGTTGGCATGGTTAGCAGTTCTGTGCCAACATGTACAGTTATTTGAAATATGACTCTGAGTTAAGAAGAACGGAAAAGCTTCACTCGGTGCTCTGGTGGAAAAGATGACATTTCCTAATGTGTTAAATCATGCGTATCACGTCTTTGAAAGCAGTGGATTAAACAAATATTTATGAAGGATGTCTTATCTCTTGCCTGTGAACTAATAATACGAACTCTGCCTTATCTGTTTATGAATTATATAAACCATGCACCCCAGCAGCCTTATATAAATTATAATAAAACAGATAAGATGATAACAGCAACAAAGCATAAGCAAGGGCTGAGGTCCTGCTGCAAAGTTTGGAAGTGGATCAAAGTTCCTGGAAAGCCTGAGAGTTTTTAGACTCCAGTACTTTGATTTGGCTTATTACGGAGAAAGGAGCTGTCTCTAATTACAGAGCAAGGAACAGGCCTGTGAGCATCACGGACACCGTGGATCTTCTGTCCCAAAAGGATGAGTAGTCTAGACTGGACTGCCTGTGCCACAGGCAAGAAACGTGACCCAAAAAAGGTTTTGGGGCCATGACCTGGTGCTACCTATGCCTAGACCATCACCACTGGCTTGAACTATATATGTATTATTTCACACTGTGTATGAACTGAAGCCTTTTCTTCTTGATCAAGTGTTAGTTGCAGCTAATCACAGCATGTGCAATGTATAATTCCATTTTACAGCAACAACCCTGCTCACAGATACTACCTCGCAACTGACCCCGTGACAGGAGATTTGTACGTTTCCGACACAAACACTCGCAGGATTTATCGTCCCAAGTCACTCACGGGTGCGAAAGACCTGACCAAAAATGCTGAGGTAATAGGAGGAACAGGGGAGCAGTGCCTACCATTTGATGAGGCAAGGTGTGGTGATGGAGGCAAGGCGGTGGAGGCAACTCTCATGAGCCCTAAAGGTAAAAAAAGTTACCCCCCCCTCCATAACTTTCAAAATAATACGTAATTCAGAGCAGGGGACATGGTCATGCTTAACCCAGTAGTTGGGTCAAAAATGTGGGTTTGAGTAATTTTTTCCAACTGGAAAGCTCATTGAGGAAGAGATCTATGTGGAACCTGGGTTGATTTTTCGGAAGTATTTGGCTTGCGTGGTTATTGAGCATTTTTAAATGCTCATTTAGATTATGAGTTTGGCAGGCAACAATGAAGATTTCAAATCGGTGTTGTTTCTGATCCCGCTTCTCTTTCAGGTTAACTTAAAAGCTAGGTCGCCCTTTACACACAGCAGCAAATGAACAGCGAATGTGATAAACAGTAGTAGATTTTATACTGAATGTTGGTTTATTATGCAAAATATGTTTTCAAGCTGTTTTACTACCTACTACCTAAAACCATATCTTCTGCCCTTAATTTCCACTAGATACATATCACTTATGCCGTTAGTTGTACATATTCACTGCTAGTACAAAAAACCCACCCTGTTTTTATTCTCTTCGCTAAAGGAATAGCAATTGACAAGAACGGGTTAATCTACTTTGTTGATGGGACCATGATCAGAAAAGTGGATCAGAATGGAATAATATCAACTCTGCTTGGCTCCAATGACCTCACCTCAGCACGACCATTGACCTGTGATACCAGCATGCACATCAGCCAGGTACTTTTTAGTACTGATGGTTTGGAAAGCTGAGCTGGGGCTTAGAAATGCAAATGCAGCTTTCTTGCCCCTTAAAATAACGGTGGGTGGGTGTAGTGTGTTATGGGTATTTAACAAAGAATTTGGGGAGAAAGAAACCTCTTCCAAGGGCATGAATCGCAGGGTATCCTCTTAGCTATAAATGCAGCTGTATTCAATTTTTCTGCCCATAAAGTTCAGTTCAGTTTAGAACAGCAAAACTATCAGCAGGAACTGGTAGTAAATACTGGGAGAATGGCAGATCTGTTAGAACTATCTTGGCATGTTGATGTTTTCAGAATCACCAACATCCTTAACCTCCCGGAGTGAATGAGGATATATACAAAAAACCATTTTTTTTTCATTTGTCTCAAGAACCTTGTGTAGTTAAGAAAGGGCATTAATCGTGGTATGTTTAAAAATGGAGTACAGTGTGATGGTTTGTAATCTGGAAGGTAGTAAGTTATTTTTGCTATTACAGGAATTAAAGATTACTATTGTCCTTAAAGTATGCATATAGACTTTGATATCACAAATGCATATATCTGCATTTGTGATACAGAAACATATAGCATTTACTGGAGGGAAAATTCAACCTGTATTCTATAGTTCCAAAGCAACTGGCTTTTGTTTTCAATAAAGTTTCCCTTGCCTCCCTGAAAAGCTTTAGTTTGCTGCATGTATTTTCATGAAAGTCCTTTTGGTGTGAGATGAAAAATATCCTTACAGCAGTGTCTAAAACTAAAGGTGAATTTATTCATTTAATCTGCACTGGTCAACTGTTCAACAAAACACTTCTGTGTGTTAAGGTTCGTCTGGAGTGGCCTACAGATTTAGCTATCAACCCAATGGATAACTCCATCTATGTTTTGGATAACAACGTGGTGTTGCAGATCACTGAAAACCGTCAGGTTCGCATTGCTGCAGGGAGGCCGATGCATTGCCAGGTTCCTGGAGTGGAGTACACAGTGGGAAAGCACGCTGTACAGACCACGCTGGAGTCAGCAACCGCCATTGCCGTGTCCTACAGTGGGGTACTTTATATTACAGAAACTGATGAAAAGAAGATTAATAGGATAAGACAGGTCACAACTGATGGAGAGATCTCATTAGTTGCTGGAATACCCTCAGAGTGTGACTGCAAAAACGATGTCAACTGTGACTGTTACCAAAACGGAGATGGCTATGCTAAAGATGCCAAACTTAATGCCCCTTCCTCTTTAGCTGTGTCTCCAGATGGCACCCTGTACATTGCTGATCTCGGAAATATTAGGATACGGGCTGTGTCAAAGAACAAACCCTCACTGAATTCAGTGAACTTTTATGAAGTTGCTTCTCCAACTGACCAAGAGCTTTATATCTTTGATATCAATGGAACTCACCAGTATACTGTGAGTTTAGTCACCGGAGACTACCTGTACAATTTTAGCTACAGTAATGATAATGACATTACTGCAGTGACAGATAGCAATGGGAATACACTTCGTATCAGACGGGATCCCAACCGGATGCCAGTAAGAGTGGTCTCTCCTGATAACCAAGTCATATGGTTGACGATAGGCACTAACGGGTGTTTGAAAAGCATGACTGCACAAGGGCAGGAGCTTGTCTTATTTACCTACCATGGCAACAGTGGACTTCTGGCAACTAAAAGTGATGAGACTGGATGGACCACTTTTTTTGAGTAAGTACATAAAATTAAGTCAGATGCCTGATAGTTTTACTGAGTTACACAGGACCACCTGAAATATTTCTGGAGGCCGATGAAGTAACTGTAGAGATGTCCCTTTATTACAAAAAAGTACAGCAGGGTGCTGTTTTCCATGCTGTCTTCCTGTCTGACTTCTTCTAAACATTGGGTATGAGTAATTATAAATTCCTTATTCTGAATTTCAGTTTCGTATATTGAAATAATAGTGAGACAACATTTCACTCTTGTCAAGAAGGCTGTAGCTCAGCCAACAATGATTTTGTAGATTTGCATCAAAACCTAGATTTTCATCCCATTTGCTCATTAGATTGACACTGTTCTGCAGCGAATACTGACGAGAAATTTGTCTTCACTGCTCTGTATATTTTTTCTTTCTTTTTTAACAAGTAAAAGCATGTCTACATGGCCTTTTGCTGAAAAAAAAAGGCTAGGTGGGAGGGGTTTTTGAGCTTGTAAAAGGTTGTGTTTCACTGAGTGGCAAATATGCCAAAGGATCTCTTGGATGACGCAGCAGGCTTTCACACAGTTGAACCTGGGGCAGGGGAAGCTGGGAACAGAAATGTGGGCCTTGGAGGGCAAGGTGTCATTTCTGTAGGGATAAACTGAAAACACAGAGACCACCAGCAATGTGTGGTGTACGGGTGGGGAGCACAATAGCAAGACATATTGGTGGAACAGTAGAACTTGTAATTTTACCATCCTCAGAAAAAATCGTTTCAGTGAATTGCTTTACCCTGTGTTACAGTCATTAAGTCATCAATGCCTGTTCATAACTGCCAGATTAGCAAAAGGTTTTACAGAATCCTCAGTTATATTGACTAAGGAAGGTCATGACAATTTGTAGATAAACCAGTAGAACCTGCAGGTTCACCTACAGATTTTATAGGCAGCTTCATCTCCAAGTGAGCTGAACTACAAGCTGATATGCCCAACAAATGTAACAAAATGAAGCTCAAAACACAAACATCTTATTTCAAAAAAGGTCAGTGCAGAATTAACACAGATTTTTTTCAGTCATCTCTGTCAACTGGAAAAATATGTGTATTTTTAAATCACATGAAAGACATGCTAAGGTTGGGTAAAAAATGCGTCTATGAAGGAGTGCGAGACGTAGAGTTAGTTTGATAAGTAAAAGTGTTGGAGGGCCTCAGCTGAGGTATTCAGGATTACAAAGGGCATCATGAAAATCCACTAAGTCCCTTTTCTTTTTCTTTTTTTCTTTTCCTTTTCTCCTATCTTTATGATGAAATGCAGTAGCAACTGCTGCCAAGGTCAGGGCCTGAAAAAAAGCTTTCAATTCAACACGCATGATAAAGAAAATAAAGTGCCAGTGTCAGGCAGTGGCAGCAAAGCCAAACATCTGTGTTCTGAGATAACTTCATAATTCTGTCAGTGTACATTTGGCCAAGGCAGTGTGCAGGAGGACTCTGAGCACCTGTATCTACTCTCCAGCCTTTACATATGCCTGTCAGAGACGTGAGAGCAGCAGGTGCTGCTTCGCTGCGTGTTATGTCCTGAAGTGGAGACAGGGCTAGAAATGCTGATCCCTAACAAAGACAGCAGGTGGAATGGTGCTGCTGCCAGTTCTAAGGTATTCTTACAATAATGTGTAAATTGGCAGGGCTTTGGTAGTGGGCATGTTCCCAAAGCATTAGCGCACATCTGTAATATTTAATAGTGCATTGGTGCATCCGCTGTGTATCTTTTTAGGCCCTGCCAAGAGGACACAAAAACACAGTGAGGATACACAGAGGAACGAGAAACGATGGAGAGGAGGGCTCACGTGTTCTTCTCATGTTCTGTATGCTGAGAGACCAATGCACAGCTTTGAACAGGCTGGGTATAGTCATCCATTTCCACAGAGAGTGAATTCAGTGTTTAACTGTGACACACACAACCACTTGTTTCCAGCAGACGAGTTGGACAAGGCAGTCAATTCGGGGGATAGTGAAGTCCCTTATTGAAATTAAGGCATCTGCTTGGTACAGCAGGCACTTTAAATCATGCTGGAATTCATACTGGCTAATTGAGGACCTAGAGTTTTAATCAGGGCAGTAATTTCTCCCCATGTTGCCTGTAGTTTTTGTGTAGCCTACTGTGGTATACTGCAGAAGTAGCTGATGGCTCCTGAATGTATCTTAATGGCATCTGCGTGATCACAAAAAAGTGGGTATTATATTCACTGTTAAGTGGTTGAAAGGTCTATATTTTTCATCATAGGGAGAATTCAGGGTACTGTGTTTCATGAAGTACATAGTTATTTACTGAGTCTGTGAATAGCCATCTTTTATACCTGATCTGCTTTCATGCAGGCTTTCTGGTCTGAGGTAGGTCAGCTGGTTTACGGAGAACCCAAAGGTCAGGCTATTTCCCGCAGTAAGTATTAGTATTATTTCTAAGCTGCTGCTTATGCATTTGCTAAACGATTACCTCCAACCAATGTCTCGTTAGAATTCCCAAGCTGAAATAATTACAGAGAAAGCTAGGCAATTTCACTCACCCCGAATTTGCAAGTATATGAGGCTGTGGCGGAAGCAAAGATACTAATCTCCTCCCCGTAGCCATGGTAAAGCAGTAATCTGTTTAATTGCAACAAGGAAGATTCAGATTAGACATTTGGAAAAACTTCACGGCGAAGATTTTGGAGCCCTGGAGCAGACAGACAAGGATAGTGACCCCTTGCCCTTCACAGGCTGTCTTTAGAACAGATTAGACATCTTTCAGGAGCAGCACAGGAAGAGCAGATCCTGCCTTGGGGTAGGGGTTGGACCACATGACCTCTCAAGGTCCCTTCCAGTCATGTTTTCTGTGATGCTCTGTACAAGTTAATACCAAAAATAAAAAATTGTGCTGATTATGTAAAGCTAAAGGGAATAAGTGGGGGAAAAAAAAAGCACCGTGTTATTTTCTTGCCAAAACAGCACTCTTAAGACATCCATCCAGCATCGCAGCCACTTACGTCTTTTTAACATAAAATCCCCATGCACCAAATTTGTGTCTGTATATTTCCCTTTTGAAGAAAAAGCAGATATAAACACGACTGTTTTGCTGGGGTTTTTTCGAGGATCAGCAAACATTATTGTGACTTTGCTTTTCAGCGCTGATGATTTGTAACATTAAATCTGACAAGGCCGGGTTTCCAGAGGCTTCTGCTACTACCACCAAACTAGATGGAAACCATGTGTATCGTATAAGGGCTTGTGTGGGGGTGACACAGTATATGTGTGTGTTTCTCTCTCCCAGCTTTTGCATATTGACATTTGTAGGTAGTGTGGGCTAAAAAAATTTCAGCTGAAGAGTTTTCTGTTGAAAACAGTGAAGTCTTATTAAAAAAGAAAGGTTGCTCTTGAACGTCAGGCGAGGAGTAAGAAATTAAGAGAAGAAATCATTCTGACTTCCTCGTTCTATTTTAGTAATAGCAAAGTATTTCAGTTTCATTGCTGGGTACATTTAATATCAGAGTTTATTTATGTATTTTATTGACTCTATTGTATTATTCAGGTTTTCAGACTATTCTGGGAAAGGGATAGAATTGGTACTTCATTGTGAATTTAGACATCCTTCTCAGAGTCAAAACTTTTCAACTGTTACGCTGTCTGATGGACTAGAAATGTCATTTTCGACCAGCTCTGAGTATGGCTGGGTTGTTTCACCCTTTGGTTGCCACATGTCTGTTTAAATGGCAGAAGTTTTAACACTGGGGTAAAAACATTTCCCTTTATAGTAATAAAAGGATCAGTCTTTGGAGCAAATTTAGTAATAGCTTCATTAACTATTCTCTTGTGCAAATCTGTTTGTGTAACCGGAGTGTGGTTCCAAAGAACTTAGATCATTTCATCTGAGTTCTCAGTGATTTGAGAGCAGATTCATGAAACCTTTTTTTTTTTTTCCCCTTTTTTAGAACAACTTTTCAGTGAAAAGAGGATATCTTTGAAAAAATACTGCAACCCCAAAATTGGCAATTACTGCTCTGGCACATATTAAAGCATTTGGACTTGTTTCTTTTCATGGCTTTTTTCCACAGTCTAAATCACACAAATACTAGATCCAAAAGAAGTTTTCTTTTTTATTTCGTTTAGTCTGGATGCCAATTAATCTATAGTTTACTTGCTTTGGTCTCCACTTTGCCTAAAGGAGGGAAGGACTGACATACAGGAAATAGGAGTTTTACACTCTTCGTGTTTTTTACACCAAAAATTGTAAGTACTAACTTGAATTACTGATGATATCACACAGTCCCTTCTCTGCATTTGTTTACAGGCTTTGATTTTTTTTAATATCTTTATGGAAAAATAGATTTCTAAATCCCTATCTTGGTAAGGGTTGTACTCTGCTGATCAGAATCGTCACTTTGTATTTCAAGAATGTGTACTTTTGTGAAGTACTGTTGCTAAAACTCATAGTAACTGTTAGCTGTTATCAAAGGTCTAAAAACTTGCTGAATAAAAAAGATTAACAGAGCATTCACAAAAAAGGATTGAAAATACACGCATACTAAAAAACCAATGGAGCTAAACGAAGCTAGAAGTCCTCCAGATTAGGTTTTATAATGAAATTATAATATAAAACAAGGTATAAGAGTAATCAGCCTATTCAAATTCTGTTGTTATAAAATTGTGAGGTATCTGAGCTGGAAACTATTAACTATAACTGCATATTATGTATGCATAATATGAACATTTAAACAGATAAATCTTAAAAGTTGAACTAATTATATGCATATTAGCATTTTGGAAGGGACTCTTTCCAAGCTAGCCTATATGACATTATTTCTGCGCAGCAGCTTCCATTCTGCTTTCATGTACAGAGAGCTAAGCCAGGTGCACAGAAGGAGCGTTTTCTCTGGACCTACCTTTTTGAAGTATCAGACATGAACTCCTAAAAAGCCTTGAAGTGCCCCTTTGCAATGGCTCAGTCTTGTAGGAAGTCAGACCCACCCAGGCCTGCAACCCCAGGCCTCTGTCAAAGCCCTG